AAAAAAAAAAAAATGCATTTTGGTGCTAGGGGGGTTATGACAGAACTTGTTGCAATCCTCAGACCTTTTTTTCTTTTTTTCGAAAACACAAAGCCCCTTCTATTCTGGGGGGCATCAGTCCAGTTGCTGATCACTGGCAAGCATGTTTTTACAGCCAATGAGGGGGAACCGAAGAGAGCTACCAGGATTAGCCTTGCCCTTGTGTCGATTGCCGCCTAAGCAATGGGGCCCTGCTGCGGAGCACCCAAGCCATGGCCCTTCTTCAGGGGTTGTCCTGCCGGTCGGGAGGCTTACTACCGTCTTCACCCGAATAGAACGCCCGGTCATTATAGCCATATTTGGTGCAGTTTCCAGTCCAGATACGGCTAAAACGACCAGGCGTTCTATTCGGGTGAAGACAGTAGCAGCACCCAGCCACGCGGCAGGAGAACCTCCACAAGGGCGGGCCGCAGGGGGGCGTGTACCTGGCAGTCCCTCAGGCCGCATGTCACCCATCCATCGCAATGTCTCTTGCTCCTTGGTAGTTTTCTTGCAAGTCTACGCTACTCTTGTCCAGGTTCTATACGCCACAATTCCTCTGCTTGTCTGCCTACTATTCTGTTGCTGTTATCATTCTGTCCCTCCGTCTATCAGCTGTCAAGTGTTATCCAGTATTTACGGAGGTCTTCCCTCTGTATTGCCCTATTCTGCCTATGGTCCTTCTGCAGTTTTATACATCTGGGAGTACTGTTGGTAGTGTTGCTCGCCCCAGCATTTTCCTTACTTCTCTCCTTTAGCTACACCCAAGCCCCTTGGCATCCTAATGTTTGTATTGAATGTTTTAAACTGTTTTTGTATTTTTGTGTTTTCACAAAAGATCCCCCTCTTATCCAGTCCCCCAAATTCTTCCCTCCCTCTCCCTCGGACCCCTGTCTCTTCCCTACCTTTCTACCTCCTATCCTCTGGCCTCCCTACTAGAGTACACTACCGAGCCTTGGGCTACCGGTAGCGCTCGTACTTATTTCTCCTATTTATGGCATAAATCAGTTGTCCCCTGGAAGCCGGGGTTCCTACGTAGTCTGATTCCTCGTCTGCTCCTGGTTGAGGCACATGTCGCATCAGGATGGGGCCGAACTGCATCTGGCCAGTCTGGGGATCCTGGGTGAGCAGTTGCGGATACGGGCCCCATCTTGCCCAGAAGCCTTTGTCCTTCTGTTCCCCTGTACGTCTGCATCAATGGTGATCCGCCAGGAGGGCGATTCTGATGTTCTCCAGCACCCTTTCTTGATATGCTTGCAGCGGTGGAGATGCTCCCTGTCTACAGCACTTGTTCCACAGGGTCCACAGGGCCCATAGCACTGCCGCCCGTATAGTTTCCGCCGCCAGCGGATCTTCGGGTTTCGACCTATCTACTTTCCTTAGGGCTCCTAGGCGGATCACTGCATCGCCATCCTCCATGACATCCAACAGGGAACTGTCCGTGACTTCATCCACCCACCATTCCCAAACGGTCCTGACAATCCGGCACCGCATGAAGAGGTGGGGAACAGACTTCATTTGCCTGCACCCTGCAGCGCTTATATGGTCCTTGTGCTGGCTCCCAGTTGCCAACCATTGCGCTGTGGGGATTGCCAAGTGGTACAGTTGCAATAGCAGGCCAGCCTGCTTCTGGTCTGCTAAAGCGGCCACGATAGTTCTTTGGTCGTTCCACCTCCGCTGCGTCCACCTGTTGAAGTACACATCAGGGAGCCAGCCCCTCCTCGCCCAGCGGTTCTTCAGTTCAGCACATATATCCACTGGTTCCAGTGGGGAGTTGTAGTAGTCAGGCTCTGGAGCGGCACCGCTTTTCTCTGCATCCTTTGGGCTGGCCATTCCCATTCCCTTGGGTCCCATACCAGGTCCCGTCGTCTGGCTGCTAATTGAAATGCCGGGTATTGCCCATCTCCCTTCTGTCCTCCATCGAGTCACCTAGACAAGGGGGCGACTGCTATGATCTGACCCCCGCCCAAACCGTTGCTTTCCTAGTGGGCTTCCGTTGGCCGGGAAGCATACTGGCAGCCCCCAGTCACACAGCAGCAGGACTCTAGGAAAGGCATGGTGCGGGGATGGTTGTTCTAGCAGCCTCACAGGCCGTATTGCCCTTGCTGCATTCCCATGACCAGTCCAAAAATCCGACACCGCCAACTCCTACTAATCCTTTTTTTCGGGATTTTTTTCAAAATGCCCCTCTGACAGCATACTTACCCTGTCGCGCCCCTCTGACAAAGATTGAAGTTTCCGAAAAACCCCTGGTGTCGTTTGGGCCTGAAATATGTTCATTACGCCCCTGCCGTACCGGTTCCAAATTTCCAGTATGCCCCGTTAGCTTCCCTCCCAGGGTCAGGGGAACAACGGCCACGAGTGCCACCAACAGCCACAGGGGCATGCTGGAAAGTTGCACCCCTCACTGACAGAGGCCTGCGGAAAACTTCAGAGGCCCCAGGGGCACGAGGTAATTCAGCCGTCCGAGGGGCATACGCAAATAAATGGAAGTTGGAGGGGCATTTCAAAATTTCCCCCTTTTTTTTCTCTTTTTTTTCCCCCAAACATTTCTTTTAAGAAGACAAATAACTCTTTGAATGAAACTTGTCACAAATGAGCTATTTCCAACACATTTCTGCCCTCTTATGCGCACTTGAAACTAAGTGTTCTTCCATGTGTAGCTTGTATCCATTGTGCAAAGACAGGTTCAATCAAAATTTGTTTTCCTCGAGTACCAAAAGCTTGCATTACATCATTATGGACATATAATCCTAAAGTGTGAAATCCTAAGAATAAACTAGCACAAGTTAAACGAGATATAATAGCTTCTTTATGTTCAAGCATTCTAGCTAAAACATTCTCTTTATTTCCTTCTGGATTATGCTGCCTCAAAAGAAAAGACAAACTGGTGCTACAGCAATACTCCCTACCAGGGTATAGACCAGGTTATTTTGCCTGGCTGTTCAACTTGTGTGTAAACGGATCGGAACAGAATGGCTGGGAGAGGTGCTGGTGGCTTAACGACAATAAAATTTTGGTTAAACAATCAGTACTTTGCCCATCCATTTTCTGTGATGCGGCAGCGCTCGCGCCACGTCTGGTGGGAGGTACCGGCCTGCCGTTTCATGCTGAATTCATCCAGGCGAAAACGGTCGTGGTCACGGCCTGTTTTTCTTGTATGTCTGTTATGCGAAACAGCAAGCCGGTATATCCCGCCAGATGTGGCACGAGCACTGCCGGCACCGGCAACTACTCGTGGTTTGAGTGCTGCCTTCACATTTGGAAGGCTATGGATTCAATCCCCTTCTATTGAACTTGTGTGATGATCTAATGTATGGGATTTAGCATGGTAACTACAGTAACTGGTTACCAACCCCTGCAGTAACTATGTCAAAAGTGTGTGGATGTGTGTGGTTGGACACAGCGGGTCATAGCCTAACGCACATAGCCTATTTGGTTAATGGCCGCCCTTGGTTTCAGAATGTCACAGGCTCAGTTTCCTTGAGTTGAGCTTGTGTGACGAGCTCATGTATGTATGTATGTTCATGAAGAGATCATGAGTTCAAATCCTGGCGGGATTGTAGAGAGACGAAACAATTTAGGACTACCCCACTTTCAAAAGAGGTGTCGTGTCTTTCCCCTTTTAATGACATGGAACTTTATCCACTGACCTCGTCAACTGAAAGGTCAACCATTCTTGCTGCCTCCTCAGGTTCTATGTCCCAAGCGCATGAGGGTGACCGCTTGCAATACATCATGGCCTTTGACGCAATCGTTTTCATTGTTGATGCCAACCGGAGAGCAATCTGAACAAATGACAATGACAGCGTGGCCAGAGCTGCCTCAGCTGCACACGCCCGAGCGGCCTCCTCCTCAGCGGCCAATTTTCCCCTCAGCTCTCTGTCCACTGCAGCTTCAGATTCCGTCTGCTTCTGAGAAAGTTCCTGAGAATAGAAAATGGCCCATAGGCAACATTTGATGGCAGAACAAAAACAAAAAGAAGAAGCACTTTAATACACTGCAAGTGAAAGCTAGTTTTTCACATGGAAACCCTACTGAACTATACAAGGTTTTTAACCCACCATGGGGCATTCACAGGGTGCTATCACTTAGCCCCTCTGCAGCCAGCAGTCAAGGTAGCCCTCTGAAAGGAACTATCCGTGGTACCAGGTAGATCCATTCCCCTTGACAATGCAGACGGAGACGAGTGCTCAGTAAGCGTCAGACATGCATTGGAGAGCGAGAAGTTGTTGTCTAACCCAGACTTGCAGCAATTGCATGAGACACAGGAAGAGAAAAGTCATAAACAAAATAGAGAAAAGGACAAAAAGGTTATGCCTTCACCAAATTTGCTACAGTCACCTGTAAGAAATCTTCTCCCTGACCTTTTCCCCTATCCCTCCCCCCACGGATCCATCCCATGCCATATTCCCCATGTCCAGATCAGCCAGTCAGGTAAGCCCAAAGTTTCCATGTGAGCAGCCGGACAACAAAACAGACGTATCACGAGCTCAACAGCACCCCCGTGGAACAGGGGCCAGGTGTTGAAAGGCAGGAAGGAGCATGGGCCACAAGATGGAACATAAATCGCCCCACATACTGCAGGACTGGTTCAAGGAAATGGCACAGTAGTGGCCCATTATTTGCTCACAAAAGGTAATGATAGACGTTTCAGTAAGTGAGAATATGAAGCGAGTAAGGAAGCCTCTGCTTATAAGAGGTTTATGTCCTGATGACTGAAGCTGGGCAATGGTCCCAGTACCGAGCTAATGTAGGAGGGATGCTGGACCCGCTTTCCTGCAGGTGTTGCTCCGCACCGACAGAAAGGACCCGTCGACCAAGCGGACACCTCAAATCCTGAGTGCGCTTTTACTGGCTCAGGATCACAGGGCTGCACCTGATGTTTCTTGGAAAAAAAATGAAAAGGTTGCACGTGCAAGGATTATGAGCGAGAACGATAGACAGAGAACCAAGTTGCAAAATCATGAAGAAGCCCACATAGTCATGAACCAAGCAGAGAGTGCAATGCACCAAGATACCGTCCAAATAAGAGCAATACAATGAACTCAGGTGTCAATGTCGCCACTCTCTGGTCACACCAACACTGTACCAAATGTCGCACTTCATGTCTGGCGCCCAGCGCCCAGCCTATCCTACTCGGCCTACCTAGCCAATCTACGTTCTTGCAACTGGATCACTCTGCAGTCGAAGACCAATGTACGTGACGTCAACACCAATGCCGACCACCAGCATACACCAGGCATGTTCTCTCTCCTCCCCTCATCACCCCTTGTCTCCCCACCTCATGCGCCTCCTACCCGAAGACCACCTTTGTCATCACCTGCCCTGTGCCCCAGCTGCCCGGCTATGGTTGCTTTGTGCCCGCTGCCTCAGCAGCACCCCTCTCACCACTGCGCCCCTGCGCCTGTCCGACCAGCAGCGCCCGTGCAGACACTTGCGCAGCAACTCAGCAGCGTGTCTGCATTGCCTGCCTAGGCCAGAATGCCTCTGCCAGAGGCTCACACTTTCTTTTATGGAAAGTGTGCGGCTGGCTGGCCTGGCCAGGCCACAAGCGGTTATCGCGTAACTGAAAATTCAGGAATGAAAATTCTGAAGTGAGAGTTTTGGGCAGTCTGAAAATCATGAATGGTCCTGAAGTGGTGAAAGGTCCGAAGACCCTGAAAAACACCTATTTAGGCAGGCTGCATTCTGAAGTGGTGAAGGGTGCCCTAAAGTGGTTAAGTGAGAGTTTTTGGCAGTCTGAAAATCCTGAATGGTCCTGAAGTGAGGTCCGAAGACCATGAAAACCACCCTCCACCACTTGAGGATGCAGCCTGCCTAAACAAGTGGTTTTCAGGGTCTTCGAAACTTTCACCACTTCAGGACCATTCAGGATTTTCACACCTGAATGGTCCTGAAGTGGTGAAAGGTCTGAAGACCCTGAAAACCACCTCTTTAGGCAGGCTGCATCCTGAAGTGGTGAAGGGTGTCATGAAGTGGTGATGAAAAATACGACGGTTGTTAACCTTCTATCAGCCAGGCGTGTGTGGGTGCCCCGTAGCTTCGGTTGGGCCCCCGGTGTCTGCGCCCATGCCCAGTTCCCGATTTTGGTCTGGGCCTCGTGCAGTTAGGCACATTCAGGCAGCCACACAACCTCCAAGTGTTCACCGCTTTCTCATTGGCTCACGACTCATGTGTGACGACAATGCTGCTTTCTCATTCGTTTGTGGCCGCTACGTGATGTGTCGGTCTCACACTGCATGTGCCCAGGGCGCAACCACCCGGGCCCTGGGCTCAACTGTATAACGCAGCTCATGTTTCAGGAAAGCACGTTTCCCTGTAACCAACTGGTGTGCTGCAACTGTCTGAGCACCCATCTGAGTACCCACATAGGAAAAATGTCGGAAATAGGCCTCACGTAGATATTCAGGCCTACCTTCACTTAGGGAGGGCACAGGGCTATGCTGGGGGCCTTAGCCTAGATCACGTGCATGGCTGACAAGGGCCCCGTGAGGGCTCATTCCTCACATTCCATCCCCCTTAGCTTCGAAAGTCCGCTGAGATGCTTCACTCAGGTGCTTTCCCCTTTAATCTCCGTTCGTATTCTGCCACGATCTGAGGGGCTGTATTGACAAGCTCCTCTCTTGTGAACCAATGATCTTCTTTCGGATCTGAATGACTCCCTCACAGGTTTGGGGCGTCTTTCCTCTGCCCACTGGCTTGGGAACAGGCAAGTCTTTGTGTTCCAAAGTATCGTCGACGTTCACGTGGCCATCCATGGTTGGGGGCAGCATTAACCTTCTTGATGGGAACAGATCTGTCTCAGCGAAAGGTGAAGCTTCAAAGCATGAAATATAGGGTAAGTGCGCAAATGTCCAGGGATTCTGATAACGTATGAAGGGCCATCCATATCACTACCCACAATATCTAAAAACTTCCCAAGGACCGAAATACTGAGGCATTAGTTTTCTAGAGATGCCAAATTCCTAACCCAGTTTGCTAGCCTTCACCCAGACACATTCCCCTACCTAAAATGTGGACTGTCGTCTGTGTTTGTTCTCAGAGGCAATCATAGCCTCTTGAGACTTCCTAATGTGCTCGACAACCTGCTGCAATAACTTTTCATACTAGACACCGAACTCTAAGGTCCCAGGCGTTGCAGCTGGTCGGTTTTCAGGAAGGAGGAAGTCTAGTGCAGATCTAGGCTTCCGTTCCAAATGCAGCTCATTTCGACAGATGCCTGTGGTGTTGTGAACTGCATTGTTATACAGACTGGCGATGAGAGGCAGCTTCTCATCCCAACCATCCTGGTGGGGCTTAATGCAATGCCTCAGCAAGTGTTGCACCACGCGATTCATCTGTTCCGCTTGACTGTTAGCTTCGGGGTGATTCCTGGTGGTCATCTGAAGTTGGATGCCCATTTGTTCAACAACCTTCTTCCACATTTTGCTCGTGAATCAGACATCTCTGTCGCTAACAATAGACTTGGGCAGTCCAAAATCATGCACCAGTTATCCATGAATAACTTGATGACGTGTTCAGTCCTTGCGGTTTCAGGCATAGCGATTAGTCTAGCATACTTAGTGAACCTATCCACTATGACGAAGATGTGTCTCTTGCCACCCTTGTTTGTCACGACTCACAAGTGTATCCATGAAATACATGGAGACACTCTGTCCTGGACCTGCAGGAATGGGCAAGGGCTTGACAAGTCAGTACGTACTTCTTTGCATCGTCAAGCATACTAGGCCACCAAAATCGTTGTACTAGATTAGCACTGGTCTTCTGATATCCGAAGTGACATGTCGCATCATGACACTCACCTAAAAATAAACTACGCAAAATCTCACTTGACGACACACATAAGTTTTTTAAACCCTGTAATCCATCCACCATCACAAACTCATCAGATGCCACTTTGTCTTTCACATCTAGTTTGTGGATGTCCATCATTAGAGGATCTTCCTTGTAGGCATCCACCAATGATCGAGTTACATTGTCAGATAAGCCAAACTCAATTATTAGCGCCCCTAGGTAGTCTGCCCTACGGGATAGTGCATCAACAACCTTGTTGTACTCTGCTTTCACATAGTCTAGCTTGAAGTCATATTGATCTATGACTTCAACCCAGCGTTTGAGTGCGTCGGTGGGAACAAGCTGCGTCTTGATCCACTTGAGTGTCTGGTGGTCAGTTCTCAAGTAGAAGAGCCGTCCCAATAGATAGTGCCTCTAGTGGATGAGCCTTGTAAAGGGCATAGAGTTCCCTTTCGTAGGTGGATTTCACCGACTTCGTTGATGGCATCTTCTTGGTCATGTACTCAACGGGCCTCAAGTTTTTCCTCCCCTGCTGGGCCAGCACTGCGCTTATGCCATATTGGCTTACGTCAGTGGTTACAACGAATTGTCTCTCCGGATCGGGGACCATGAGAACCTCAAGATGTATGAGGGCATGCTTCAGTCTTTTAAAGGCAGCCTCACATTTGTCTGTCCATTCCCATAGCATTTCAAAACGTGTAAGATCAGTCAGAGGGGCGGCCACCGTACTATAGTTCTTCACAAAGTTACGATAGTAGTTGGTCATCCCTAAGAAAGATCTGACCTCGGTCACAGACTGAGGTCGTGGCCAGTCACGAATGTTGGCCATCTTGGCATCTTCGGGCCTTATCCCTTCCGTGGATATCTCATGACCCAAGTACAAGATTTCAGTGGAACCAAACTCACATTTATCTAAATTGATCTTAAACTTGTGTTGTTGCAACAGTGAAAGTATTGTTTCTACACGCTGGGCATGCTCCTCGACTGTTCTACTAAAGATAAGAATGTTGTCAAGGTACACGACGATGAACTTATCTAAGTAGTCATGAAAAATCCTATTCATGGCGTGTTGGAATGTGCCCGGCGCATTGCAAAGGCCAAAGGGCATCACCACAAACTTGCACAGGTCGTACCTGGTCTGAAATGTGGTTTTGTGTTGGTCCTCTGGTCTAATGGCAAGCTGATGGTAGCCGGATTTTAAGTCTATCTTTGTAAAGTACCTACATCCTTGCACCCTATCCAACATGTCGTCGATGCGTGGTAGAGGCTCTATGTTCTTAACGATGATGGCATTGAGGCCTCTATAATCAATCCACATCCCCAATGGCCCCCCCTTCTTCGGGACAAATAGAACTGGTGAGCTAGGGGGGAGGTACTACGCCGGATCCAACCCTTCTCTGTGAGCTCTTTCAATTGCCAACGAATCTTGTCCAACTCGGTCTGGGCCATCCTATAGATTCTTCCCGTCAGCGTCTTGCTACCTGGGATGATTTCTATGACATGGACAACCTCCCTGTCTACGACTCTTGAAGGCTCCTCGAACAGATCAGGGTACTTAGCAACAACAACTTCTATCTTTGCAGGTGATTTAATGGCCTCCCCTTTTTCAGAGACAACTGCTAAGTGCATACCGTCCTCTTGGTTATGTTTATAATAATTACAAAATGTTGATGCGCACATGCAACCGTAAGCATCTATCAAAATGCTAGCCTTATACTTCGCAAGTCTGACTGTCCTCCCTTCCGGCAAACATGTTTTAGCACCTTTCGGTCCCAGTCAAACTGGGGCTTTGCAACCTCGAGGTAGTACATACCTAACAACATATTGAATGGTAAGTCGTCGCTAATTAGGAACGAAATCTGATGTTTCAGTTCCCGACCTCCATAACAGCAGGTGCAGACTACGTCCTTGACGTAGTAATTTACAACCATGCACTCCTTGTTGGCCAGGGTAGATGCTATAGATCCACCCAAGCGATGCACCTGGTCCCCTCGGCGCAGTCTCTCAACACAGTCGAAACTTATGAAGTTCCGCGTGGAGCCAATATCTACGAAGGCACTACACTTGCGGCCACCTACACTGACTTCCACGACGAAATGTTCCCCTTTAGGACCTCTAGGCAGTGCCACCCAAGACTCACGAGGTTCCCTTGCCGACCACTCAGTTTCTAAGTCTTCTAAGCCTTTGGACAAGTCCAACGAACAGAGTGTCGTTTGGTCTAGATGTGTCTGCAGGGTGACTAGTGAGTCAATAGCTTCGGCCAACTCCTAAAGTGGTGAGGGTACTTCAACCACTTCAGCATGAGAAGAAGCAGCTATAACTTCTACTGGCCGGATGTGTTTCCCTGATTGGTGCTCGTAGAAGCACCACTCTGGGCGAAAGATCTCCCAAATCATTCTTTGGGCGGAATCTTTTGAGAGACCTTGGTGTTCTTGCACTTAAACTGCTGATGGCCATATTATTTCCTTTCTTGTATAAAAGTGTAACTACCCCCGTGCTCAGATCGAGACCTAGGAATTCCTGTTCCAAGGCTCTATTTAGAAATCTGAGGAGGATAGGGCATAGGGTGGGCCAACCTGCTTCCCAAAATTCCTTGGATAGCCCGTCTCTGCCTGACTCTTTATTGGTTTTTAGTTCTCTTTGGGCCTCATGTAGTTCTTTAAGAGAAATGGTTGAGTCCAGAGTGTTTGTTGTATCGATGGACAAAGTGCGATCGATGTGAGCTAAGAATTTATCCCTGACTCTTAGTGTTTCGTTATTTTTTTCGACTGCAGTTTTGCTCGTGTAGAGGTCCTTGTAAAAGTTTGTTGCTATGTTGATTAGTTGTGTGGTTTCCGTGGCTGGTCTACCATGCTCATCTGACAAGCTTTCTATTTTAGAGTTCCTTGAGTTCGACTTGATTTTCTGTAAGGAGTACTTTGACATCTTCTCATTCAGTTCCCAGTCTCTTACTCTCGCTCTTAGCTGTAGGCCTTTGAGTTTTAAATTTAGTCCACTCGGCTAACTCTTCTTTGGATTTGCAGTAAAATTCAACAAAAAAAATTGACTTTTTGTTTTGTTGTAGATTGAATTCAACTATTTCTATAGCGTTCTTTAGCATATCTTCCCTTTCTTTTCTTTTAGTTGCTAGCTTCCTTGACATTTGTGCTACTTTCGAGCTTCTCCTTGATGATTTTTGAGAATTCGGTGTAGATGTCCTCATTAGCGTGTTGCTGTGTGGTTTCTGATAGAATCTCGGTTAATTCTTTTTGGAATTCTTGTCTGGTTAGAAGGGCATTATTGAGATGGTAGAAAATTTACTATCGGGATAGAGGAGGCGGAAAGGATCTACTAAGTTTTTCCTAGTCATAAAGTTTGTTAGTTCAAAATTGTTGGAGTGGTGTGAAGGGTTGATGGAATTTGAGGATCTATCCAGGGAGGGGTTCTGAACTGAATTTCAATCTCCCATGAGGATCACATGTTTGTGCGAGGGGATTAGTTGTTCAATTAAATGGAGGAAGGGTGTCTTTTCTTGTTGTGCGATTGGGCAGTAGACCCCAAAGATAGTTAGTTCTTCCTCTCTGTAATTGATGTCTAATCTCACCCGTCTGCCGGTGGTGATGTCTTGCCAAGTATTTTGTACTCTCATTAGGTTGCTCATCGTTGAGTTATCGTGGAGGAGGATGACTGTGCCGACTGAGCCATTGGGTAAGGCATGGAACCAAAATCCGGCCTTGACGAACCTTAATTTCCTAATTAGTGCTATTCGGATTCTGTTGTGCTCTTCGTTACTTGTAAGATGAGTTTCTTGTAGACAATTTATGTCTGGGGGGTTATGGCCAAACCAGCCTTTGGATTCCGTTAGGTTTCTCCATTTGACTGGGTTGTCTAGGATACATGCAAGGCCGTTCACGTTCAATGAGTAGAGGGAGATTTCAGGTTGTTGTCTGATTTCTTTTAGGATATCTTCGGTTTGCGTCTCTTCTTGTTAGTTTGGGCCCCTGAGTCAAAGGAGGTGTCCATCTAGGAGGTCCACCTTCTCCTTGATTTGGGGTGAGTAGTCCATCTAGGGGGTTTTCTGGGCTTTCTGGGAAAGCCTCCTCGCCTCCTTCCCTACCCTGTCCTCGTTCACCTTTGCCAGAGCCTTGTCCGCATTCCTTCCCAGTCATTCCTCCCTCACAAAGGTGCCCATGCTGAATGCAATCCTCTCTGCTGCCTCTTTTAAAAAGGATTTCACAGATCAGCTCCCAAGCTGTCCATTCCACACCCTCCCTCAATTGTACTGTGAGGTCATAGATGGCCATGATGGGTCTCATGTCTCTTGTCTGGGACCAGTTTCCCATTCTTATGTAACAAACAGATACCCTTTTTTTTTTTTTAAATATAGGTGAATGGTACACATTCAAAAAAAGAAACAAAAAGTTGGATGAACGTATGAACCATGATTGTTAACCGGACGTCCGCATCAGGATCCAGATGGTCCGGTCAAGATGTCCGGATCCCATGTCCGGTTTGGGGGGTCCGGTTGGGCCCCATTTCTAGAAAATTCAGAATTGCTTTTTGGGGGTCCCCACCCCGAAAATTGTTGGTGCAGTTTTTAGTAGACCGTTGGGCCAACCGGACAGGTCCTGAAAGGCCTGTACTTGCAATCTTGGGTGAGCGTCAGCGGGCCAAGGAGAACTGGTTGTGTGTGTGTGTGTCTGTGTGTGCACGTGCATGTGCATGTGCATGTGCATGTGCGTGTGTGTGTGTGTGTGAGTGCATGTGCATGTGCATGTGCATGTGTATGTGCGTGTGTGTGTGTGTGTGTGTGTGTGTGTGTGTGTGTGTGCATTTTTTCAATATTTCAATTTTTATTTAATTATATAATTATTTAATTATTATTACTTTATGATTTATTATTATTTTATTATTATTTTATTATTATTTTATTATTATTTTTAATTTTTAATTTTTAATTTTTAATTTTTAATTTTATTTTTTTCATATGTGCCACAGTGTGTGTGTACTTTAGCGTGTTCAAGATAAGTAGGATAATACAACTACAGCAGGGCGTGCCTGTGTTCTTTTTTTTTTTTTTTTAATTAATATCCGGACATACGGACCTGTACATTCATAACCGGACTGTCCGAGTGCGTATGTCCGGTTGTCCGGATTAATCCAGACACAGGTCCGGACCCGGTGTCCCGTGTCTGGATGTCCGGGTCCGGGCTAGTGGTCCCAAACTTGTGTAGAAAAAGCCTATGACCCAAAGTCTCTGGGCACTGGGCCCTTTCTTTTGTAATTAAAAGAAAAGACCCAGCTTATGATGTCAACAAGGGGTACAAAAGAAAGACCCAGCTTATGATGTCAATGAGGGTTTAAAAAAGAACTGAAATTTGATTTGAGAACGGGAGTAGCACTAACCTCCCTAAGTTCTCTGATCTTGGCACGAACACTCCGCAGCAGGGCCTCCTTACGCTGTGCTTCTTCCTGCCACTTCTTTGATGTGGTCTCATCAGCTGTGCATACACACATTGCAGAACATAGTAATCCTCATTCTTGAATGTTCACACTCTTCCAAAAGAAAAAACTGCAACAGTCTTCACATACACAGTCCACAACCGATTTACAGAACCTCAAAGAACAACTTTTAGACTTCCAAGGCTATAATGGAAGGTTTGCATAATCAGAGGGAAGCTCCCCAGATACACTACAGAGGGCCAAATAGATGCAACCTTCTTTGGCCTGGCCCAGTCAAGAGCTAGAAAGACCACTATAGTGGCATTATATGACCCGGGCAAGGCCAAGGCAGCAGACTCTCCCACCTTGGCCCAGAGCCTAAAGGTGGCTAGGGAGTTCTACCAAGAGTTGTTCACCTCCTCCACCAAAGGCAGGCGGGAGGAGGAAAGGGATGCACAGATCATGGGTTTTCTTGCCCCCCTGACACACAGAATTTCAGACGAACAGTCGGAGGCCTTGGAAAGCCCGTTGGACAAGGAGGCAGTCTGGACCTCCCTGTTGCAGATGGAGGATGAGAAAAGTCCCGAGATCAATGGCTTCCCCAAAGAATTTTGGGAATCCATGTGGTCACCTCTGTCAGCAGATCTTATGGAATTTTATAGTCAGGTGAAAGCAACCGGTAGTATGGGAGAGCTTGCGGGGCAGGGATTCCTCACCTTATTTGTAACTACTGCCGCATCACCCTCCTTACAGTAACTTACAAAATGCTTTCCAAAGCCACGACACCGTTCTATTGGTGATTGAGATGATCCAACTGTCTAGGCAGTCCCACCAGAACACGACCCTGGTCTTTATTGACTTTGAAAAAGCCTATAACCACATAGACTGGCACTTCGTAGACAAATGTTTGGAAAAGGTCGATTTTGGTCCTGACTTCCGGGAATGGGTCAGAATACTCCACCACAATGCCACTACACGTATGTAGGTAAATGGTCTACTGGCTCCAGAAACCAGGTTGGAATGTTCGGTGCGAGAAGGCGATCCAATACCATGCACACATATACATGGGCATCCCGTAGGTGCACGACACTTACGTGAGTGGCCTGAGCTTCGAGATGAATAGAACTCACCCCCCTCTAATATGGTCCTCCTGACCATTTAACACAACCCCTACACTAGTGTCCTATCTACTAGGAGGGTCTGACTCCAACACCAAAGTGCACCACTGGATCCCCCGCTGATGCTGAAGAACAAAGTAGCAACTTGCAGTCCGTAGATGCAGAATGGCTGCTTTCCCAGAAGCCCTAAGGTCGCCAAGTGTCTCCCTTGAATCAGATTCCAGGTGCGAGTGCCTCTCACTGTCACCTCTCCCGCATGTCGCACGAAGTCTTCTCAAAGTGTCTCGCCTCTCCCAAATGTCGCACGAAGTCTTCTCGAAGTGTCTCGCCTCTTCAATCTCAACCTAGTTAGGTCAAGTGTCGACCCAACACGACCTAACCAGGTGGGGGAAGCTTCCCTTAACCACACTGCCCCACTTCCCTCAACTTCCAGCCCTAGCCATAAGTGGTAGCCCTCCACTTAGGTTAGGGTTGGAGCGGCGAAGTCAACTCTCGCCAGCAAGTAGAATCCGCTCCGATACCAATGTTATAATCCTGGCCAATTTCAAAGTACACATTCATCAGAGAGTACAATGTCGTCCAATTGCACAAAGAAATGAATGAACTTGAGAGGAGAGAGAGGGAAAGAAGAAGAAGAAGATGTACACCAGCAAAGACCAACGAGAATTCCCATCTTCTTCGCCAACCACTCTCCTCCTCCTTATCTCCTCCCCTCTTATTCAAACAAGAAATAATAATAATAATGCTGAATGGCTGAACCAGAATCAATGTCCGAATCCCTCTTCTACTGCAGGTATCACATGAGGTCCACCATAGCCACGACCACCTTCTTCCTCCTCCTCTCACTGCCCTGCTGTGCAAAGGACAACACAAAGCAGCTATGGCTGCTCTAGCTCAGGCCGCCATGCCTGACTCTGCATTGAAGCTTCTTGGTGCAGCTCTACCCCAACGGGGGGCCTTCCAGATGCAGCGCCCACCGAGGGGATGAAGATGGTATCCACCTGTTCCATACTTGTGAGTACTTCAACAAGTATGGGCAGAACCAAGAGATCAACCAATATAGGATGAGCATGTATGCAGCGGAAGTCTGATAAATGGACTGACTCACACAGATATCACTCAACACACAAACAATCGTGAGATGGTGGGGTCTGAGCCAATCATAGACGATGCTCAGGCCCCGTACAACCATACACAGATGAAAAGGTGGGAGAAGAGACGAAGGAGGTGGGAGGTGTAGGCAGCGCCAGATGTCACCGAGATAGACTCCAGTAGGTCACCGTAGTCCAAAATGTCATCGAACAAGATCAAAATGTCGTGGACAATTAAGTCACCAATGTCGGAGGTACAGAGTCCTAATGTAACCGGTGTCCAATNGTAGTCCAAAATGTCATCGAACAAGATCAAAATGTCGTGGACAATTAAGTCACCAATGTCGGAGGTACAGAGTCCTAATGTAACCGGTGTCCAATCTGTGATGCCCCCGAGTGTCAACCCCAACAATCTCCAAGTCTCGAATCCGGTAAGTATCACAGCCTCTTACCACCGAAGTCCAACACTGATCTCTGTCCAACTAGTATCAAGTCTCCAGTCTGAAGAAGAAGAAGAAGAAGAAGAAGAAGAAGAAGAAGAAGAAGAAGAGGAAGAAGAAGAAGAAGAAGAAGAAGAAGAAGAAGAGCCAGGTGGCAGAGGAGGAGGAGGAGATGGTGAGGTGGGGAGGAGGAATAACCTCGCTGCCCTGTCCCGAATCCAGGCCTCACCTACAGGTACGCGGATGCCACTGAAGACCTGCGCAGCTGGAGCTATGGCGCCTCAGGTAAGTGCCAGGTAAGTTCCCCGCTGCTCCTCGACTCCTGTGCAGTCCAGCACTAGGAATAGCGCTGCTGCCTCCAGCGCTGTGCGCTAATCAAAATAGCGCAGCGCTCCTCGTAATGCCGCTGCTCCGCTCTGAACCGAAACGACTGGCGCTCTAGCAGCGTCCCAGTGCTCGATGCCTCGAAGTGAGGTCGGCCGGTACTAAGTACCGGTGGGGCAGAGGCCGGCCTCAATGCTGTGAGGCCTGGACGTGATCTGAACCGTCAAGATTGACGATTCAGATCGGATCGGCGGGCGGCAGCCTCAAAAGCGCCGCCAGGCCCAAAACGAGAATATCGTTTAGGCTTTTGGGCCTGTCCGTCGGTCTGGTCCAAAATGTGGCCTTTCGGCCTGCTGTACCCCCAAGTCTGGGCCTTTAGGCCCTACTGTGTCCCCTCGGCCCTAAGTGGGGTCCGCTAGGGCCCGTGTGGCGTCGAAGATGTAACACACTCCCCCTCTTAAAAGACCGAGCTACTTGCGAGGGCGGAGTTGTCTGTCCGATACTGGGGTGGATCGGGCGGGACGAGCTGCTTCCTTGGCAAGTCGTCGCTTCTCATAGTTAGTGAAGATAAGGGGTGCAGAAGTCTGCAAGTCTGCACGAGAGATCCACCGAGTGTCGTCAGGTGCACATTGCTTGAATGTGACTTTGAACTGCATTGGCTTGTTGCCATACTTGCGGTGCGTGATGACTCGGTCGACTTCCTGATGTCCGTCCATAGAAGGCGGATCCTGTGATCGTCGGCCCAGAAACTCGTCAGCGGAAGGTGGCGTGTAGATGGCCAGCTTCGACGCGTGGAAGACCCGGTGCACTGTAAGGTGCGATGGAATGTTGACCACAAAGGAAGGACCTGCGGGGTCGTCTCACTCGGCATAAGGAATTTCCCATGGTCCGAACCATTTCGGAAGGAGTTTGCGTGAAACGTCCTGCTCGAGCGCGAATTCCTCGGAGAGGACCCAATCAAGGTCTCCCTCGCGGAAAGGACATGGGAGTCGACGTCGGTTAGCTTGCTGCTGTATGCGGATTTGAGCCTTTTGCATATTTGCGCGGGCTTTGATCAGCAAGCCCCGATACTGCGGGAGAGCACGGGACGTCTATGTCGGCAACCTGTGGTAGAAGGAGATCAGCGAAGATCCGTGCTTTCTCTCCACCATGATGTAACTCAAATGGTGTGACGCAGATCGCTGGGTGCACCGAAGTGTTATAGGCGAACTCAATGTCGGGAAGCCGGTCAACCCAATCTTTCTGGTCGGGACGGATGAGCGTACGCAACATCATCTGAGCGGTTTGGTGCGCTCGCTCCGTCTGGCCATCCGTCTGTGGGTGCCGAGCCGAGCTCGGCTTCATTGTCGTACCAGACTCAGCCATAAGGGAAGTCCAAAAGGACGACATGAAGCGAGTATCTCGGTCGCTCACTATGTCTTCCGGAACACCCTGGTTGGTAATCCAACCAGTGTGCAAGAGTCGTGCGAGCTCCGGCGCTGCAGCATAATACTTGCAAGGAAGAAAACGAGCATACTTGCTCAAACGGTCAACGACCGTGAGAATACCGTCATGGCCGAGGCGATCGCAGGGAAACGGGCCTGTAACGTCCATAGCAATGGAGAGGCGTGGTGCCCGAGGAATCGGCAACGGTTTCAGTTCACCGAAAGGGACTCGAGATCGACCCTTGTTACGGTGGCAAACTGCACATGACTCAATGTACCTCGTGACGTCGTGAAGGACGTCGGGCTAGTGAAAACGCTGGAGGAGGCGTGCTAATGTGCGGTTTACGCCAAGGTGTGTCGAAAGTCGTGCGTCGTGGAATTCGCCGAGAAGACGAGTCCATAAGATGCGATCTTGGGGCACAACTAACAAGTCCTTTCCTCTCATGTGATGGAGAAGGAACCTGTCGGACATCCGATAACGGCTAGCCGGCGGGTGATCCGATGAAAGCTCTGCGTAAAGCGTAGAGTAAGTCGGATCGGACTTGTAGCCTTTGACGAAATGCGGTTGCAGATCGTCATCGAGGTCGAATGCCGTGGTCACAATGGCACAAAAATCGGGCCGTCGTGAGAGGGCGTCCGCAGCTCGATTGGCGGGACCGGGAATGTGGCACGGGTCAAAGTCGAACTGGTCGATGTAATACATCCATCGACCGATCGTGCTAGTGACCGTATCCTGCGTTTTGTAAAAGGTCAACGGATTGTTGTCCGTATTCCATTTAAAACGCCGACGACCGAGAAGAAAGTGGCACCACCGTTTGAGAACGGTGAGGAACGCGAGTAACTCTTTCTTTCTAGCGTCGTCGAGAGTGTTGACGAGAGACACTTTTTGGGAGAAATACTCGACCGGGTGCCAACCGTCCTCGTGACACTGTTCCAACACCGCACCAATACCGTATCCCAAAGCGTCCGTAGTCACTTGGGTGGGAAGGGTGGGGTCGTATATACGGAGGGCAGGTGCGGCTTGCATTGCTGCCTTCAACGTATTGAACGCGCCACGGGCTGCGTCGTCGAACTCGAAGGGCACCTTTGGGGACTGAAGTCTCAACAAGGGAGCGGCCACTTTCGAGTATGACTCGACGAATCGCTGATAATATCCAGCCAAACCCATGAAAGAGCGTACATCCGTCGTGCAACGGGGTTCCGACCAATCCACGATGGCTTGGATCTTGTCCACTAAGGGACGAATGCCTTTCGGCGTGACATAGTGACCCAAGTACTCAAGCTCCTGCTTGGCGAACTCGCACTTGTCACGATTCGCTTTGTACTTGGCCAGTCGCAAACGATCCAAAACAGCGCGAAGGTGTACGATGTGCTCGTCCAACGTCCTACTATAAACCAAGATGTCATCGAGGTAGATGAGGACGCTGCGATCAAGCAAGTCGTGAAACTCAGTCGTCATAGCTGCTTGGAAAGTCGCGGGGGCATTGGTGAGGCCAAATGGCATGACAACCCACTCAAAGTGCCCGTACCGCATCTTGAACGCGGTTTATACCGATCTTGAGGCTGGATTTCAATCTGGTGGTAACCCGACTTCAAGTTCAACTTTGAGAAGTACGTTGCGCCGCCTAACCGCTGAAGGAGATCATCGATCCGAGGGAGAGGGCCGACGTTCTTTACGGTTTGTGCGTTAAGTTTTCTATAATCGATGCATAATCGTAGATCTTTGTTCTTCTTCCGGACGAAGAGAACAGGGGCACCGTAAGGCGAACAACTAGGGCGAATCCAGCCCTTGTCAAGGAGGTCGTCGAGTTGTGCGCGAAGCACCTTGAGTTCCTTTTCGCTCATGCGGTAAATGCATCCACGCGGAGGGATGGCGCCAGTCTCGAGAGTGATCCCGTGACGTATGGCCCGATCCGGAACCGTTCCGGTGGGAGCCTCAAAGACGTCTCCATACTCGTCCAAGAGGTGAGAAATACGTGGGTTCGGCGGTGACGCGGCTGGTCCGTCCGGCGAGGGAAGAGCATGCAATAATACAAGGCCCATCTCCTCGACGTCATTCCGAACTATGGCGTCGCGAATTCTCGCAACGGAAACCACGTGACAAGCAATCGAAGTGTGAGGGGTCGCGACCGTACATGGGACTAACACTCCGTTCCGATCACGGATGTGAACGGTTCGGTCATGAAAGTTCACCGGATGATCGGCCCTACGCAACCAAGACATGCCTAGAATCATGTTGAACTTGGTGTCGAGGATGTCAAAAGACACCGGCTCGCACGCAAGTGGCGCAAAGTATACCAGGACGTCGTCGACGCATCGATCAATTGAATTTTGAGTGCGGTCGTCCGCGAGTGTAACGTAGGTTGCGTCTTCCTTCGAACGCGCGGGCCAAGGCCTGCGCGGGTCATAAAGGCTTGGCTCATGAAATTACGAGATGCTCCGCAATCAATCAAGGCACTGCAAGTCCCCTTTCCGATTTGAATGCGGATAAAGAGCAAAGGCGTGTCGGTCTCGGCGTACCTTTGGGTGACATACTCGCGGTCAATCTTTGCAAGATAGGAGCGGAGATCGACAACCGCTACTCCGTCGTCCGTCAACAGAGCTGGTATTGCAGTGTGCAAATAGGAGCGTAGATTTGCCATCAAGGCGTTGCAATGCGGCCTTGGCAAGGTTTCGGTTGAGGGTAGAGGCATCCAAGCGAAGTCCTCTCTCGTGAGCGGGTCGAGCTCCTCAAGTCTTGACCACGCCGTCGAGTCCTCGGAATTCAGTGGCGAGCTGACCGGATCACTTGCCGATGGTGTACAGGCTGCGCATACGCTACCTAAGTGCACGTGGCTAGGCTGGTCTAATGGTGGTACCAGTTGGGCGGCATATTCCTCGTACGTAGCACGAGAATCATCGACTAACGCATGCTCCCCGATAGTGACATCGGTTGCTAGCAAGGCAACTGGTTCCGGTGGAGTGAGGAGAGGCGTCGCCCCTCTCCTTGCGTAACTCAGTTTCCCGAGTTAGCTGGACGGGGTACGCGTGCCTTGCTCTTGTGCGGGCATTGTGCGGTAGTGTGGGTTACACTATTGCACCATAGGCAATATCCGTACCGTTGACGTAGGTCAAATACCTCCTTGGTTGTGTTGTATGTCGTCCATGGTTGTTCCCGTCGCTGTCGTCGCTTGTGTCACCGGTTTCTTTCAAACTCTCTTGGGACGCTTCGGCGGGAGCGCTGCGACAGTTCCTCCATCACTCGAGGATGCTGCTGCAGCGTGGAGATCGACTGATTCATCAGAAATCACGACATTGTTATGTGTCGATCGTTGATAGCCCTGCTTAGCCACATAGTGCGGCTGGGACTGCCGTTCGTTAGCAGCCTTGTCATCCATTTGGATGACCAGGTTCGCACGATCCAGGATAGCCTGAAATGAGGCATAATCGTACTCGTTGCCAAGTGCCGTTCGCAGTCCTGTGCACGATCGCGAGAAGAACTCGGATCGTTGGTTTGGAAAACTCAAATCGAAACCTGGCGTGGTCACTATCTTCTGCCACTTGATCGTCCAGTCTCGAGTTGGCATGCTTCCTTGTGAGCTGGTGTAAACCTCGTTCATGGCCGCCTTCACAACGTTGCGGACCATGAATCGAGTGAACGACAGTTGCTCGAACTCCTTCCACGGAATGTGCGTGTGGAGTTCGGCGATGGTGCATTTCTTGGTGGCCGCAAGATGGTTCATCCATGCCTGTGCTCCTCCAATCAGTTGGAGGTAGAGCGCCTTCATCATGTCAAGGCGTCTGTCTTGTTGTAGTCGTCAAACTTGCTGATGTTGAAGTGCGGCATCTTGTAGTTCTTTGTAGCGGTGTCCGGTCTTGTCTGCAGTTTGGTGATGTCCGTCTTGATGGCGGCCACCGTGCTGCTGATCGTGGGCGGACTAGTGAAATCACCTAGTTCGCCGATGAGATTGACGACATGGTTGATGCGCTCGCCGAGCTGTTTCGCCGTGTCTGTCGTGCAGCCTGGCACTGCTTGGGAAGGCCTTGCCTCCAGAGCAGCAATGCGGGTGTCCATCTGTTGCAGCTGGGTGTCCGCGATCTTGATGGCTGCTGCAAGCGTCTTCACGTTATGGTTAAGATCATGCTGCAGCTGCCGTGTAGACCTGGAATGAAGGTCACCCATGGTGGTGTTCTAGATAACTGTGCGCGTTGTGCATAGTAGAATGTCGTCCAGGTTTTGTCTCTCCTGCTGTACTGCCGTCGGCTCGGCGCCTGCTACGGGGACATAACGCATCCCGTTGAGCACAGCTGCCCACTGATCGTGTTGAGAGATCAGAAGGTCGGCACTGTCGGCGTTGAGCTTGTCGGTCGCCAACTGCTCCGCCTCAGCTTGTCGCTGGGCTTGGGCTGCAGCTTCTGCTGCCAGCCTCTGTTTTTCTGCTTCGGCAGCATCTTGTCGTTCCTTGGCAAGGGTTAGTGAGTCCGTATAGGTCTTCACTCTCTGAATGTAGTCCGTGATGGACTCATTCGGCCCTTGAACAAGACAGACCGGCAAGGGTTCGGCATTACTGGATGTCAAAGTCTCAGACGATGTTCCGCTGTTGGGAGTGATCGCCATCTGTGTGCTGCTCTGTAGCTGCTGTCGATCTGCAGGTTGCTGTTGCTGTTGGCGATCTGCGATCCTCTTGCTGCGTCGTGGCTGCTGTTCGGTGGCTTGCCCTGTTCGCATCAGAAAACTGCTGCTGAAGGTTGGCCGGTCCGAATGGTCGCAGAACCGTAAGAGGGAGAGGGTGGGCACAGGGGTAGAACAGATCAAGCAATTCGCATACAGTCCATGTCCCAACTATGGACTTAGACACCTAATCAAAAGGAAAAAGACAAACTTTCCCCAAAAACAACTTAAGAATTCGTAATAAGAAATAATAATGAATTAATAATCAATAAAATTTAATTAATGATTAATAACGAATTAATACTTTCTTAATAATAATCAATAAAACAATAATTGTAATAATGGTAATTAACGAATTTTAAATTGTGGAAAGATTAGGTATCCGTTGAGATCACCTATGGTCCGGGAGTTCACCGTTGATTAGTGAACTACCTGGAAGTTGCAGTTTCTGAGGGAACGATTCCGATCAGTTTGCCAAAAAAATTTTCGGATAATCAGGAAGAAAAACACTCGAATTTTTGAAAAACGTAAAATTTTGGGAATTTCAACCTACAAAGTCCGATTTTTAAAGGCCTGAGTCCGTATTCGGAATTTTTCAAACTAGGAAAAGAAAAAGAAAAAAATCACGAAAATTTCGGATTCCAACCCTAATTTTCTGCGATTCCGTGGAATTTCCGGTTCCAAAATATTCGAATTTCCCACTTTGAACAAAAAACCGAAATTTATCGTACCCTAATTTTCCGCCGAAATAAAAGGGAATACTGATTTAGAAAAACGAAATACCGGATTAAAAACAGAATGCCGAATTAAAAACGGGATACCGAATTGAAATCAGAACCGATTTAAAACAGAATACTGATTTAAACAGCATAACGAATTAGAATCAGAAAACCGAATTAAAACAGAAAATTTGCAACTTTGAATCTCGATAGTAATGCAGAGCTGATTTGGAAGATCGAATAAGCAATCTATTCCTAAATCAGACTTACCTTGTGAGCAGATCCATTATTTGGTCTGCTCCGATACCAAAACTGTTGCATACTTGTGAGTACTTCAACAAGTATGGGCAGAACCAAGAGATCAACGAATATAGGATGAGCATGTATGCAGCAGAAGTCTGATAAATGGACTGACTCACATAGACTGACTCACACAGATATCACTCCACACACAAACAATCGTGAGATGGTGGGGTCTGAGCCAATCATAGATGATGCTCAGGCCCCATACAACCATACACAGATGAAAGGTGGGAGAAGAGACGAAGGAGGTGGGAGGTGTAGGCAGCGCCAGATGTCACCGAGATAGAATCCAGTAGGTCACCGATATGGTAGTCCAAAATGTCATCGAACAAGATCAAAATGTCGTGGACAATTAAGTCACCAATGTCGGAGGTACAGAGTCCTAATGTAACCGGTGTCCAAT